AAATAGAATTTTAATTAAATCAAATGAATGAACGTCTATTAAAATTCAGCTGTAGTTTGTTCTTAGGGTGAAAATCATTCGGAGTAGTTTGTGACTGTTGAAATATGACCGAATTCTAGCGTCTTAAAATCAATAATGAATAATAAATTAATTTTTAAAATTGCATAGACTTTGTTTTCGGAACAATGTCTTCTCGAAGCGGTCAAATGTGGGTGTTCACACGGAGGTAAAAAAAAAAGTGAATAACGAATATATATTTTCGAGGAAACATGGATTTCCACATTTAGATTTACATTAACAATATCTAATTTACTTGCATTTGTTGGTCTCGCAAGAACACAGGCATATACAGACAGGCGTGCTCACAGCACACACACACACATACACGCATAAAAACAAATAGATATTTCTTAATCTGATATTACTACTGTTGACTAAAAACTTTATATTCAGTGGGTAGAATGTTAGATTATGCATCTCTGTTAAATACACTTGTACCCACGTCACACACACAAACGCACGCACACACATATATAATAGTGGTGTATTCAGCAGTTTTGGGATATAATATACATTGGACCTGACATTTACATAACATTGGTCACTGCTCAAAAATAGCAGAGGCCAAATTTGTACTATCTTAAAGCTTGTGCAAACAGTTTAAATTGATTGCTATTTCCGGAAGCATCTCTTACGTATTTTTGCCAGTATTATTTATTTTATTTAGTATATATATATATATATATATATATATATATATATATATATATATATGTGTGTGTGTGTGTGTGTGTGTGTGTATATATATATATATATATATATATATATTATATATATTCAAATAATAGGAAAGAACGGTCAGATTTATAATCCAAAGTTCTTTAGCTGTTATTTTTATTTCTAAAAAACAGTGCTCCATACAAATTAGAGCATAATATTATAATTATTTTTAAAAAATAAAAAATAATTATAACATATATATAAATGATATATATATATATATACATACACAGACAAATATATATATATATATATATATATATATATATATTCACACACTGACACACAAAGTAACCACCACAATGAATGCGTTTCTATTCCGAAATAAAATCAAAAACTTGCTACGCACTATGTTATGAAATTTGCAAAAAGTTAGAGAATTTTCCATTTAAAACGGAACTTTCAGTATTTATTCATTAATAAATTATATATATATATATATATATATATATATATATATATATATATATACCTAATTTTGTTAGAACACTTTGTGGAAATATTTGGTGTTCCATTTCACCCAAATTTTCGATATTTAGTGAGTACCTTTTAAATTTTTTTTGTATCCTTAAAGTTGTTATAGGAAGAAATTTATGCAATTTCAAGTGTGGACATATCGAAAATTCCTCCCCAATTCTTCTAAAAATAATTCACTAAAATGTTTTTTGAGGGTTGGTTGTTGCATAATTTAATAAAACTCGTCTACATTTGAACTTTTTTTTAATTTACTTTTAATATATGACGTGTTTGAAATGCATCCAGTTGCTGTTCGTAAGAATTCTTTTTATTAAATAAATACACGTTTGAAGAAAAAAAAAGTGTAATGTGCAATGCCATTTTTGAATGTGAAGCACTTCTGAAAGAATTTTTTTTTTTAAATTTTGTCATTTTAACAACTGTTAGATTTTTTACAGAAGCTCCCAAAAGAAATACTTTTACTGACTACTTTTCCCTATTGGAAGAGTAATATGTTATATGATAATTCATTAACACTTAAATTTAATATAATAAAAAGAAACTCGTTGTGTGCAAATATATATTTTATCAAATAGAAAATAATTAAAAAATAAAACCTATGAATAAAACTGAAAAGTATCATTTCACTAGTTTTAAATTCATTTGTTTTTTACACATCTAATGTAATATAAAATAATAAAATGACTCATTCTTCTAAGTTTTATAAAAGCGTACAAAATAAAAAATACTTTTTTTTTTAACAATTGGTTATATAAGGTTAAATATAATTTCTTTCAAACATAAATAGTAATTTCTTCATTACTGTCTTACTAGTTTTCTGTATATCTATTTTTAATTGTTCGCGCGCTTTTAAAATCTGGGAAAAAACTACAAAAGGATACATATTGATCTATGACATTTCATGCTACCGTGCGTAAATAAACGCTATTTTCATTATTTTTTAAGTAAAAAGTAAGTAATACTTTTACAAAATCCAATTAATTCATTCTTAAATTTACGAAATTACTTTGGAACGCATCTCTCAGACAAAGATTCGATTTTTAAAAGATTTTTAATTTTATTGCCCATTTTTCGTCTATAATGGCGCTTCAATTCGTGTTGATACCATATTTGGTATATAGACCTGCATATATATATATATATATATATATATATATGTGTGTGTGTGTGTGTGTGTGTGTGTGATCAAATACAGATCATATATGGATCGGAATCCCAAAAATAGGATAAAGAACAATCAGGAAACATTAATAAATCTAACATCTTTCGCTTTTACAAAAGCTTCATCAGAGAATGAGATTTGGAAAAAATGTATGTTATTCTTATTTTCGTGTTATTTGATTGTAATTAGTTCAGCAGACTTATTTGCATTTGAATAGTCAAGCAGCGTTCGTGTGTATAATTTATGTATGTGCAAGTGTAGCATAATTCTTCTTCGTCAATGCGGGATTCGTATGATAATGTATGTATGTACATATATGTGTGTGTGTGCACGCGCGTGTGTGTACCTCGTAGACATTATTTGTGTTTTGAGGTTGTCTGCATGTTGAAATGGGGACGTTTTTACGCCAACGCTTGTGGTTGTTAACTATACTTTAGATCCTTTAAGAATTGATTTAATAAAGCTCGGTGATGTAATATAGTCTTTCTGAGGTCTGTTTATATTTGGTAAAAAAATTCGACCTAAAAAATTATGTTCTTTTTTAATTATGGTTGCATCTGTAAAATTAAAGTTATGGCCAGTCATGTTTGGATTATAAGTGAGTTTAAATTCTTGTCCCAACGTATGTCCCTCTTGTGTTCACAGATGCAGGCTTCCGAGACATCTCTCCAATGCAAGCACTTTATCTGATAAACATGCTGGTTTAAATTATAATTTTCTGAAAGTTTATTTGAGGATTATTAGCTGATTTAGATTTTAATTAGTCTAATTCGAAATAAATATTATCGCAGAAAAGCAATTTTTAATATTGTGGTGCGTGTTTTATGAGGTTTTGACAACTATCTCGATAGACTTACGTTTGGAAATTTTGTCTATGGTGACATATCTGTAAAAATTACCTGACGAATATAATGCGATTGCCTTTTTATATAATTTTTAATAACCAAATAATCTTAGAAATTAAAAATATTCTAATATTTTAATGTTTTATTGAATTTTAAGTACTTTGACTTTAAATTTACTATATTTACCGCTCTTATTTTTGATAATGTCGTATGCCCATATACAAATATATATATTTACATATATATATATTTACAAAAATGGGCATGATTATGCACAGAAAAAAATTAAAAATTCTTTTTTAAATACTGGAGGTCGATGCATTGTAGTAAACGTTTCCATTTATGATAAGTAAATATAATTTTACTTAATAAGATTATCATCTAACCAGTAAAAATTAATACGGAATTTTAACAGATTTAAAACTTTATAAATTAAACTAATTACTTTATTTTTAATGAAAACACTTCTTGTTAAAATTCATTTTTCATCGAATTTTTTTCCTAAGACCTATTGTCTTAGGAAAAAAATTCGATGAAAATACACACAAATGTCCATAATATATCTTATTCATAAAATCAATTAAAAGTTTTTCTAATTAAATAATGTTTTAGTTTTATTGCACTTTTTATTTTATGATTCAGAGCAGATTTTCGGTAACAAGGGGTCGTATTTTAGAAAAACATTCTTCAAAAAACATCTGCCTATAACTAATATAAACATTAAACCATACAAAAATGTATTTCTCGAAATTTAACAAAATTAAATAACAGATGCCAAAAAAATATTTTACAAAGATTTTCTAAAAAATGAAGTATTTCGAAAATAATTTAATTCATTTGTGAATATGTCCTAAAACGTTTTATTAAAATTTGACAATAAAAAGACGCTAAAATTTTCCCTACTAATTTAGACACCAGATGATGCAAGAAAATAAATTAACTAAAGTTTTTAAGTTGTAAAAAGTATTTAAAAATATAATTTAATTGTTTATTGTAAAAAGTATAGACATTTCTTATCTGCCACGTGTCTTAATAATGTACATTAGTAGTTATTTTTTCTATGGTTTCAATAATTTTAGTCTACTTTATTAGATTTATGTATTATTTTGGGTTTGTTTGTAAGTAGCTGTCTAATATTATTATGGCTCTTATGGTGCTTGTTAATGTGCTATTTAATAGTTAGCGTGACACGCGGCGGAGAAAACTTCCTGCATTTTAGATTTATTCGCTCCAATTTAAAATATAATGCCACATTAAATGTACCACTTATGATTTTCTTCACCTTATTACCTTTTTTATTTATAACGATCATAAATTCACTACCTACACTCCCCTGATGATGAGTCGTGTTAGTCGAAAGCTCAGACACGGCAATTATATATCGATTTGGCACACCGGCAGTAACCAAAATTGCGAAAGATAATTGACAATTTAGAAAAAAAGATGGTCAAACTTAATAGATATAAAGTGTATATACTTTTCAATAAAGCATTTTCAAATGATTGATTCGTTTTTTCACGGCTTGTCAACCCATTGCATTCATTTAAAGACAGAAAACATTTTTGATATAATTTTTGTAAATAATAATGTTTTAGTGATACGTCTTACTAATTAAGAGGAGAAAGAGATGGAGTCATATTTCGCCAAGGGAAAGTGTATAGAACGAACGTCATGGGAATTGGAACGACGATTAACAAATCTGAGCCATTATTCATTACACCCCCGCACATACAAATTTACAGCACCTGGTATTTCCAAGCGGTCACCCATCGAGATACTGACCAGGATCGACGCTGTTTAACTTCGGTAATCGTAGGGGAACTGTTGTTTCAAAACCTTATTTTTAGTGTATATTTATATTTGAGTAGGTGTTCCGCTTATTTATTAAATTTTTAATTTTTTTTTCTAATTTTTTTTATTTTCACCTAAATGTTCGGGAAATCTTATTACAGAAAGATTTGCGCCCTTCGGCAGGAATCAAACCTGCGTTCCTGAGAGCCAGAATTTAGCCCGGCGCCCATTACTGCTTGGCTAGACGAAGCGAATTTCATGCTTTCAAGCGAAATTCCTTGCGTCATAGATATTTCGATGTATTTTCATGTCTGCACATAGTTTCATATCTAAATGCAAACAAAGAACATTTATTATAATGGAATTTTATACATATGACAGAATTGTATCACTTTATATGTTATTTTTATTGGTTACCCGGACATGAATAAACGTAGCACCTACTCAATTACGAGTGTCCACTAAAAATAACATTTAAAGATATATATATATATATATATATATATATATATATATATATATATATATATATATATATATATGTGTGTGTGTGTGTGTGTGTGTGTGTGTGTATATATATATATATATATATATATATATATATATATATACATACATATACTACATACATACATACATACATACATGTGTGTGTGTGTGCGCACGCGCGTTACAGGTATATTTTAACAATATCCCATTTTTTAGTTTTGTTTATTCTGAATATGTATTGGGTATTTTCTTGATATCATCTCGGAATCTAAGTTTCAGTTAATTATTTTATATCTGCAAATATGGAAGACTTTGCTGGAACCTATGTATTGAAAACCCAAGTATTAAGTCTTTGAAATCTATCTATCTATCTATCTATCTATCTATCTATCTATCTATCTATCTATCTATGATCATATCTATCTTTCCCTGACCATTTCTATCTATCTATCTATCTATCTATCTATGATCATATCTATCTTTCCCTGACCATTTCTATCTATCTATCTATCTATCTATCTATCTATCTATCTATCTATCTATCTAATCTAGTTAAATCTAGTTTCATTCAGTAAGAGGTTTTTGGTCTCTATAAAAGCCCAAGTATTATTATGAGAAATTGTTCGCGAGCTTCTCTATTTAAGTATTATGTTCACAGTTCACTGAATGCCCTCTATATGTAGTCTTGTCACCATCACCACCACCAACAACAACAACAACAACAATAAATAGAAAAATCGAGTATTTTTTTAATGTGACCCAAGACCATATTAAGAAATTGGAGGAAAACGATTATGCTGCGCCAATGAGAAAGATTAGATTATCTACCTACTTAATCTTAGTTTTTTAGCAAAGCTCAAACCCTAATCGGTGGCGCTAAATGTAAATAAGCAACTATCTAACCTATCTAGACTGTAATGAGTTTATAATAAACTTACTTTCGTCTGATCCAAGCCTATCATTGTGGGATCCCCAATGAGGTTTGACCTGACTTCACTGAGCTAATAATCAATTAAAACTAGTTGTACGACAGCGACGGTTAACAGATAGAACTATACAGAGTGTTTTTAATCTTTACTCGATGAAATAAACTTTTACTAAATTAAGAGTTTTCCTAAGATAAATCTAAAACTGTGTGACAATGGTTCGAATCTCCATCACCCCACCCCTGCACCTCCATCATTTCTGGATACTGAAAAAAATAGACTTTCACAGAAAGTCATAGCCTTCAACAGCTCGTACAATTTCCAATGTGTACCCCGATATTTCGAACCTTGTGTAGGTACCTATAAACACCATGCAAAAGAAGCATATGGGAAATATTACGGTAATTTCAGTGCAATATACCTGGTCAAATCATCTTAAAATTAGACATAGTGGCATGTAAACAAGCTCCTCACGCCAGAGTACAAAAAATACACGTGCTTAGCTTAACGGGGTTAATAGATAGACATACACGTGCTTAGCACTGGTATGTCATATATTTTATAAGTTTATCTTCATAAATAAACAAACAGAAATAGTATTACTTACTTGGGTGTCATAGACCAGATTTAAAAAAATATCCCTGATATTAATAAGAATTACATAGATAGATAGATAGATAGATAGATAGATAGATAGATAGATAGATAGAAAGAGAGAGGGATAAATGAAATGGAGAGTAGATAGATAGATAGATAGATAGATAGATAGATAGATAGATTTCAAAGACTTAATACTTGGGTTTTCAATGCATAGATTCCAGCACAACCCCTTACTGATTGAAAGCTAGATGTAACTAGACGAGACAGATAGATAGATAGATAGATAGATAGATAGATAGATAGATAGATAGATAGATAGATAGATAGATCAAACATACTGAGGAACTATAGACTCTGGTAAAACAAATCCCCAACACCCCTAGGAACTCAACACGCACGGCGGTGCAAGAGCCGGTGCGCGTACACACGCACACAGGCCAAATAAATTGAGTTACTGATTCAAAAACCGGTCTTTGTAAAACACTTCCAACACCAGCAGCAGCTTTACAAGAAATAGTAGTCGTAATA